GGATGCTCCGAACACTTCCGGGTTCCTGATGGTGCCGGACCATCAGGAGTGCCGGAGCATTGGATGCCAGACTAATGGAGTTTTACTGTACCTTAAAATGCTAAATTTGAGGGGAAGGTGAAAACTAAGTACATCTGAATAGTGTGCTGTTGGCTATTAGGAAGAAAAAGCATTTCAAAATCTTTGAGTATGTAAAGCAAGGTAAATCCTGCAGCTGATATTATTGAGGAGTCAAGGTGTGTAAAGCCATTTTTTTTATTGGATCAGATCTGTTGGTGAGAAACAAATTTTGTACCACACAGAGCAGACTCAGATGAAGAGCTCTGTGTGGCTTGAAAACTTCTCTCTCTCTCTCATCAACAGAAGTTGGTCTAACAAAAGATATTACGTCACCAACCTTGTCTTTCTAATATCCTGTAACTGACATGGCTACAACTACACTGCCTATTGTTAGTGAAACACATTCACGTAAAATTACAAAGGATCTTGCAAATTGCTTATATATGAACCAATGAGCTAGCAATGGTCTGTTGTAATGCAGAATTATGCAAGCCAAATAGGGCTATGTCAATAGTGATAAATGGGAATCAAAAAAGTAATAATGTCTCTAAATCTGATGGGACAAAGATTGACATAGTAATGCTAAGTTGTATAAAAAAAGATGAATTTTTGCAAAGCGAGAGAAATTTGATAAAAATAAACAAACTAATGCAGAATGTTCATGACACTTAGAAATTCTTAGCAATATTTAGATTTTATGTTGTCACGGAAGAACAACTATCCTAGTAAGTAACAGAATTAAAGGAAAAGTACTTACTCCAAAGGGGTTTTATCTTTTCATTGATTCTCTTTGCTAGATACAGTATAATTTCAGTTATCCAAGTTCATTTTATCTGGAAATCCTGGTTAACAAATCTACAGAATGTTCCTCGTTAGCCTTATTAGTTAATAGCATTTCCATCTATCTGAATGCTTAATCATCTGAAACTTTTTGATGTTTCCCTGACCACCAGAACATACTACTTTATCTTCCTTTATTTTCTTTCTGCTTATCTGTTTTTTTCTTGTCTTAATAATTTTTCTCTTTGTAAGATATTTGATCAATAAAAGGAGAGAACTGAACTTTTGAGAAGTGTTTCTGCTGACTTTTAGAATAAACCACTTTTTTACCATAATACAGTAAATTCATTGCAATGATGGGACCTATAGCTGCGGTTGGTTGTCTTTGATGCAGAGTATTCACACCAAAATATTAATGAGGCAGTGGTCAAGATAAACGTGGTCAAAATAGATTAATGCATGTTTGGTTCTACTACTGTTTACTTTTACAGAACCTTGCCAAACTTATTCTGCAAGTGTCCATCTTGTCAAAAATTACTTTGCAGTAAAGGAAAGGATCAGTGAATTGTCCTTATATGCTCATTTATTATCCATTCCTTTACTTTTTTGACACCTTTCTGTTAAACACTAGAGTTGTCTTGCAAATCTAGATTTTATATATTGATTGCTCACCAAATAGTATTGAGATAAGTGCCGATACAATTGTTTATTTGGCTACTGTAGATTTACAAATAAGCACAATTAAATATCAATATAAAACAAGAGTTAATTTTATATTTTTTTCCCACTGGATGGGTTAAAGGATTTTTTTTTTTTTTTTTTTTACTGTTGGATGCTAGTGAGAACTAATCCTGCATTTCTTGTACACTCAAAGAACCCTAATTGTGTATTTAGGGGTATGTGATTGTGGAGTAAAAAATGGTGTCTTGTGTACACTAGGACTCCTAGCATTGCTGTAGTATGAAGTCCTAGGATATCAATTCATGAATTTTTGCTAATACATGAAAACTGTGGACTTTCTTACTTCATAAAAGAGACACATACCGGATTAATGCATAATAATTATCTATGCAATACTAGCAGACTTGCCCAAGTCTTTCAGGGCAGGGGGCTGGCGGTTTGTGGGGGGTGTAGGACTCAGAGCAAGGTCTTGGAGGTGTGAGGGGGTAGGAAGCTGGAGGCAGGGGGGTATGAGAGGATGTTGGGGGGTGAGGAGCTACTCAGGACAGTGGGTAGGGATGTGAAAGATTAACCAGTGAACATAACTCTTAATGGGTGTTGCATACCAATTCCACCATGGGCATGGGGCTGCTTCAGCTCAGTGGGGCCCATTGTGAACAGGGGCTTCTTGGGGGTCCAGAGCAGCCCCTGCCTGCAACGGGCCCTACGACGCTACAGGCAGAGGGACTGCTCCAGCCTGGCTATGATGTGTGGGAGGGAATACTCCAGCCCATGTGCCCTCTGTTAATTGGTTAACCAATTAAATTTTGTTTGGTTAACCAATTAAACTGGAATTTTTGATGGCAGGAGCCTTTTCTGCATGCAGAGAGAGATTATAATTCATTTCAGCTTGTTTAACTAGTACATTTCAATTACTAATTACTTCAGAGTTAAGAAACCAGTTGAGAATTGAGCAAACGGAAATTTAGTTTCCTTCTGATGTATAAATAAACTTGATGTGAGAAGACGAGGTCTATTAGCTCTAAAATCTTGAAGCACGTGGTGTGATCAGAAAGAATTTGTTCGGTTTTCTAACTTTGAAAAATCAGTTTTAAATAGAAAATGTTTTCTGATATACAATTTTTGTCTTATGTGCATAGTGCACATTCAAGTAGATTTACATTAAAACGCTGTTTTGTGTACTTTTAATAGAATTCCAGTTTTCTTACAAATAGAGCTTGACAGGAGTTGCATCTGAAAATTAATCTAGTGAATAAGGAATGGATCATTCACTGTTTTCTAACATAAGAAAAAGGGAATTTATGTAAATGAATGTTAACCTAAATATTTGCTTTAAAGTTGGATACAGTACATCCTCCTGCTTAGCTAGAAATACCAAGTTTTAGTGTAAGGATTATATTTAGCTGTAAGTTAACATGTTTTATGATAACCAAGCAATAAAAATCAGCCTTTGTTTAGGAAAATAATTTAAAAGCACAAATACTAAACTAGATTAAAATTAGTGATTTCAATTCAAGGTGCTTTACTTGATTTCATTCATTATTAAAATTGGTGATTTATATCACTTTGATTTAAATCAGTAATAATCAGACATCGGTGCTCTGGGAGCCCGATTAGCAATCAGCATTATCCAAAAGAATCCCAGTGGTGTGTCTCCTTTGTTCAATTTATTATAGTGCTCTATACCCAGTCACTCAGTGTTTTAATATCATATGCTGCAAAGAGCTGTAAGAGAAACATTACAGAACTGCATGCGGTTGGCAAGCCTCAAAGTATCGCTGATTTAAATCAGTGCACTCTGGTCATAAACTCTTGTATTGAATCCTGTCACAATGCAAATAGTTTATGGACAAATTGGCTCTTTTTCTATATTAAATTAGGTTATCATACTTCAGTCTTTGGAGTCTTCAGTGATTGTCTTCTGGATAACCTGCCAGGAATAAAGACCAATGGCTGCGCTGTAGAAGTCATTCCAGCTTTGCCAAGGCTGCAGATCAGTACCTCTCTACCAAGGTAATAAATTCAATGAGGTACATATTTTCTTTTTGGTAAACTAGAGAACATTGTGTTGGTTATTTGTGAGTTTTCATACTTGAAGAGGAATGATGCTAAGTCTTTAACAAGTTACCATTAGGAACTAGTGTTAAACAAGTAACTGTATGCAGTATTTTGAGTTCAGATGAGGGTGTTTCTATCATTCCCTTTCTGTTTTATTAACTTCAGAGAAGGAGTTGGAATGAGACTCTCTACCCAAGCAAAGACTTCAGTATTATATATTGTCTAAGTCAGGCTCCTCATTGGGCTCATTGTGAGCACTCATTGAAATGTTATACTCAAGCAGGTTGCTTCTAATGAATGATTTTATTGCAATTTTTTTTTAAAAATTTTGTGTCTACACTAATCTCCCAGGCTCATTTTTAAAGTGCTATTAAAGGGTTTTTTTTTAAAGATGAGGACCTAGGAGAACATTTTGTGAAATTGTTCACCCATAGGTGATATTTGTTCAATAATTTTTCTGTATGGGTTCATTCAAGAGCATAGTGATTTTGGTTCATCCACATAGTTGGGCCTATAGTGCATTGGATAAAGTACACCTTGTGTAGGATCTTGAAAGGTTTGTTTTGTGTGGATTGGAAGAGTATTGATCATCATAGCAGTGGAGATGCCTCTTCAAGTTTTGTATCTATTCTGGCAGGGTCTTGTACCACTTAGAGTTGGTCTGTCCTTGTCTATGGGCAGTGTTCCCTCTAAGCTATTTGGCAGCACAACTTCACAGATGATTAATCAGCTCTGCCCAGTAAGAGGCTCAGGGCTCTGTGCAGCTTAGCGGAAACACTGTCTGTGGGTGAATTGTTTTTTAAGGTTGATGATCTTGGAGAGATTGAGGGGTTGTTTGAAAGCCAGAAGAGAGGGTTTAGGAAAATTTTCTTTCAGGAAGTCCATCCCCATTGAGTATGGGTTGTAATTGTTTAATGATAGACACTAAAAATCAGCGTCTTAATTAAGATACTGGATTTATGGCCTGTTACCATACTCTATAACTCACTAATCCCCCTTCTTTGTTTTTTGACAGTAGGGTTGTTAATGAACCAATTCATGTTGAATGCTCCTTTATAATATGTGTTAAAAAGTCTAAACAATCTATTCTATCTTATATTTAGCAGAGATACTGTATCTTTCCCAGATCTGAAGAAGAGCTCCATGTAGCTTGAAAGTTCTTTTTTCACCGAAAGAGGACAGTCCAATAAAAGAGATTACCTTACCTTTCTTGTCTCTGAAACATATATAGGCTATTTGAGTGTCAAATATAGATATTCATTCTGAATTTATCAGGCTGAAAAACTTACAGTGCATACATGGTTTTCTGTGGAGACAGCCTTTTCATAATGGTTGAACAAACAAGGGAGTTGTAATTTAAAATTAACATATCCTTTCAGAATTTTTAGATTTACCAGTAATTTTTACCAACTACTAATCTCAATTATTTTCCCTATCGCACTCTTGTTCTCTTCTGTCACCTTTCCATCAGTATGAAAAACTTTCAGTTTCCACAAAACACCTTAACTCCAACTATGTCTCTTGTCCTGTATTCCTGTCTATTCTAAATCCCTCGAATAGTCAATTTATATTCATTGTTAGAACTCCTCTCATCAAATTTGCTCAAGAATCCATTCCAGTTTGATGTGCTCTCTATACGCCTCTGAGCTAGGACTCACCAAGTTCTCCAATACCATGCAACATCTGCTGATTTCAGTAATTGACTGATTTGATGCATTTGCAGTTGCAGAAATTTTGTGAAGAAATTTCTCTGAAAAATTTGGTTTCTGGCAAAGATATTTTTCCTAGAGTACATTAAAACCTCGGTAAATATGTCATCAATCTGATTTTCCATTTACCATTTGAAACTCAAGTTAAACCATTAATCCAGAAACCTTCAGTCATTTAATTTGTTAGTAGTAGTCAGTTAAACAAGCAGACTTTTTCTTTGAACTCGTGGTGACTACACCCCTGACTATAACAGGGAGTATGACCTGCTTGTCAGTGGAACTGATAGCTACCATGGCCTTGGGGCAAGGTCTGGGGGGCTGGCCATATGCCCTGGAGGTCAGATCATAGTGCTGCCTGGACCACCGTGCTGCTCCCCTTCGCTGGGTAGTGCCCAGCATGGAGCTCTAGTGGCAGGCCTACTGCTCATTTGTCTTAAACTCATTTGTTTTATGATCCATAGTGGTCTCCTGGGGAATCTAAGTATCATCCTTACGAAAACAGTCCTTTGGAACTTCTAAGGAACATTCATCCTGGTATCTATTACCAGCCCCTTCTCAATTGAAAGAGAGAGAGAGATTTAATTTAAATCTTTATTATTTTGTTCCATGCCACTATTAGTTGAAATTCAGTAATTAAAGCACTAGATAAATCTTATTTGAAAAGCTAGTTTATACCAAATCTTTAAAACCAAGTTATTAGGATTACAATTTTGCTTGCCCCAAGCCGTGTACAATTTTTTGTGTTCTAAGCAGCAATTTGTTTAACAAACCCCTGCAGTTAGAAGTGAATACTTTTATACCTTTTCAAAATCATGATTAGGAGCTTATTAGTTCTTGTTGCCAATAGATTTTGAAAATAGTAGCTATTAAAAAGTAAGCTGAAATTGTCGAGCTGGAAATGGAAAATAAGATGAAGCAAGCTGTAGTTCTGCAATTTGTGGGGGCTGATATTTTGTGAACCACCAAGGATGGGTTGACCAGATTCCCTGATTTGTTGTTTTATATTATGATTTGTTCTTAAGAGCTGATTAATGTTTAACACAGCATTTCCTTTGCATATTTATCGATCTGTTAATAGGTCTGCTCACACACTTCAGCCTTCCTCAGGCAATGAAATTTCCACCAGTGTATCTGTCCAGCTTTACAATGGAGAGACTCAGCAACTTGTCATTAAATTAGAAAATATTGGAACCGAACCTCTGGAGAAACTGGAAGTCACAGCAAAAACTGTCAACACCAAAGGTATGTACTGTATGTTGATATATGATTTAAAAAATCCCCTCACTTCAAGAGAAGTCTGTTCAAAGTGATTGTGACAGACTGTTATAGTAGAATGATATTTTAGAATACAGGTATTTCTCTCCCTTAATAAAGATGCACGGGATTCATTCAGTTGTCCATCAGTGTCCTCTTTGGACATCAGAACCAATAAACATTGTGATGTTCATAAAACATGTGAAACTAAATTTGAAGTTAATGTCACAGAGTCCCCCTTATACTCTCTAGTTTACCTTGCCACCTATGCAACCTGAATTTAGTAATAAATGGTCATCTACACCAAAAATTACAAAATATTTTAACTGGTTCCAGTCCCAGGAGACCAGTCACTTACTGCAGATAAATCGGTATGGGTTTTATAGTGGAGACAGACAGAGTACCTAATCCTTTAATAAACTAAAGTTTTATTAAGTAGGTAAAAGAAATGAGTTATTTACAGGTTACAGTCCTCCTGAGAATGTGGGCATATAATTCTGGCACCTGGGTTTACAAGTTTGGAGCAAACACTTTCAAATTACAAAGCAAAATACATGTTTGCTTACAGCATGGAATATAGACCTTACAAGTGAAGTTAATACATGCAGCAATTTACAAGCATATCAGAGTCTAAACATTAAATACATTCTTGACTTGTTTTGAACAAAAGTAACACACAGGTGAGCTATTTTGATTTCCAACTCGAAGTTTCTTAGTTCTCACCTAATGTCTATGACCAGAGCTGGCAGTTGGTTTACCAGTATCACAGCAGCAACAGTTTTTTCCTCTTCATGAATGACTCACAAAATAACACAAGGGGCACTTCAGATTTCAAGTATATGGGAAGAGAAAATAACTGGTTTTGTCAAACACACTTGTCTGAATGGTGGAAAACATGAAACATTCATATCCTTGTATAAATGTTGTTAATTAAAAAAAATTAATAACACAAACTCCCATTGTGTTATGACACCTAGATATTGTATATAACAGTTTAGAATCCTAGGTTTTCAGCACTGAAAGTATATATTCAGAATGTTTGCATTTTAATAATAGCTATACCATGTATTTTTATAACAAAGAAGCTTTCAGACGGTACATGTATTTAATATTTTTTTCTGCTCAATACCGCCTACCATGTGTACAGTACTTTCTACTTTTTAAATTAAAAAAAAAAAGTTACCTCTGTTGGGAAAGTATATGCTTCTAGTTTGAATCAGAGTATGAGCTGTTTTTTAATACATTTTGTAAGTGATTGTTTAAGCAAATGCATAAAACAGTGAAAACAGCCCACATTATGTTTATACAAGTATAACCCATGGTGATCACTTAGTGAAATGAAAATGTTAGCATGCATCATTAATTTAGATTGGCTCCCCAGAGACTTCTAGGATCTAAATACTATGTATATCAATGCTATGCAGAGAATAGCTTTAGAAGCAGCAGAAAATAACAAAAAAGCACATTCTTCACAAACAATTTATTAATTTTCTATTTCTATATTGATATGTCATTTTGCTATTATGTCAGTTGAACTACTGCAATTAAGCTCACTTTCTTTTGAGTGCTTACTCTTGTCCAGTTCACGTTAGATGTGCTCCCATGCATACAGTTGCTAGAGATTTTTCCCCTCAGTGGTATCTATATATCTGTCTCTGGCCCTCCTGGAACTGTCTGTGTATAAGGGGTACTGCTGGCCCTGCATCCTCTCAGTTCCTTCTTATCACCTGTGATGGTGGTTTGGCAATCCCTCTTACTCTTGCAAGGCTTCTTTTCCTATATTGTAGTATACTATATACAGGCAGTCCCCGACTTACGCGGATCCGACTTATGTCGGATCCGCACTTACGAACGGGGCTCTCTCGCCCCGGAGCTCGCAGGCAGCGATCCGCCACCTCGACCTCCGGGGCGAGAAAACCTGCTCCCGGTGGCCCTGGTCTGCTGGAGACCGTCCCCAGCAGACCAGAGACACCGGGAGCAAAGCCGCAGCCGCGGCGGGGTCCCGCGCCTCTGAGGCTTTGCTCTGGCAAAGCCTCAGAGGCGCGGGACCCCGCCGCGGCTGCGGCTTTGCTCCCGGTGTCTCTGGTCTGCTGGGGACGGTCTCCAGCAGACCAGGGACACGGAGAGCACAGCTGCAGCGGCAGCGGGGGGCCCTGCCTCTGAGGCTTTGCTCTGGCAAAGCCTCAGAGGCGCGGGACCCCGCCGCGGCTGCGGCTTTGCTCCCGGTGTCTCTGGTCTGCTGGGGACGGTCTCCAGCAGACCAGGGACACGGAGAGCACAGCTGCAGCGGCAGCGGGGGGCCCTGCCTCTGAGGCTTTGCTCTGGCAAAGCCTCAGAGGCGCGGGACCCCGCCGCGGCTGCGGCTTTGCTCCCGGTGTCTCTGGTCTGCTGGGGACGGTCTCCAGCAGACCAGGGACACGGAGAGCACAGCTGCAGCGGCAGCGGGGGGCCCTGCCTCTGAGGCTTTGCTCTGGCAAAGCCTCAGAGGCGCGGGACCCCGCCGCGGCTGCGGCTTTGCTCCCGGTGTCTCTGGTCTGCTGGGGACGGTCTCCAGCAGACCAGGGCCACCGGGAGCAGGTTTTCTCGCCCCGGAGGTCGAGGTGGCGGATCGCTGCCTGCGAGCTCCGGGGCGAGAGAGCCCCGTTCGTAAGTGCGGATCCGACATAAGTCGGATCCGCGTAAGTCGGGGACTGCCTGTAGTTGTTATATATAGTTTTTAGTGTTAGTATGTGTGTATGTATGTCTATGTATGTTTAATATATCTTTGAGCAGGGAGTTGGATTAGATGACCTTCTGAGGTCTCTTCCAACCCCGATCTTTTATGATTCTATAATATAGTGCAAATAGTTCTCCCTGCTGTTGAGGGACTTCTGCACCAGAGGCTGGGCATACCCCAGGCTTCAAGCCTTGTGCCTCCTGTAACAAGCCAATGCCTGTGTGTGATTTACATGCTAGCTGTCCAAAGTGCTTTGTGGAAATGCACATTAAAGTGAAGTTCCAGATCTGTAGGCACTTTAGACTGTATACTAAAAAAGATGGACATTTGCCTGAAAGCCCTATTCATTGAGGCTGCCCTCAGACCCGTCTGAGCCAAGCTGGGCACTTCAGTTTCTCTGAGAAGTGTTCCCTTAGCAGCATGCTCTTCCACCCCGGTGCTGAGAAAGAAGCATAAAAAATAGTGCACTGAAAGATGGGGCTCTTTGGTGCCGAAGAGGGACAAGCAGGAAGTGATTAGTTTAGGGAGATCCATGTCGGGCCACTCATTCTCCCCAGAGCCACTCTTGGCCCCAGCAGTTCTGCCTAGATTGCTGAATCAAATGCAGGACCCACCTTTGACTCGTGAGAGTAATTGTGGGACCTCGTGCCTGTGGGTCCTTGGAGGCCTTCCAGGTAGCAATAGCGTTGATCGCTCTCTGGAACCCACCCATATCCAAGGTCCCCTGCTAGCTAAGGGAACTGGGAATTGAAGAGATCAAGGGAAAGGGAGCTCCTTTATGGAGCCATCGTGGTGCCATCTAGAGAAAACCCTCCATAGCCCTGTTGCAGCAGTCTCCAATGCATAGCCTGTCACTGGCTCCCAGCACTATCTGGAGGCAGAAGTGGGTAGTGCACCTCCATGGTCTGCGAAGTAAGAATCCTCTTTGGAGTCTCGGGGAATCATTTGCCTGCTGAAGACATTCCAGTATCCAGTCTGTGCAGTGGACTTCAGTAACAGTCACCCATTCCAGTGCTTGGCCTCCAGGCCACTGGCTAATGCAATGGCAGTATTGGAAGTCTGGGGCTTTCTACTAGTCCTAGGGCCCCATTCCCACTGTTCATGTTCAGTGTCAGAGGAAAGTCAGACTTTGCTCTAACCAGAACTAGACCCTGACTCCAGTACTGGAGTCTCAAAGGTGGCCCCAATGCTAGTGCTGCAGATGGAGGAGGAGGAAGTAGCAGTACCTTCTGGGACTGGCCTCTTCCTCCTCATCCCAGGATGAGGCAGTCTCAGGCTTGGGAATCCAATGCTGATGGATAACTTGTGGGCCCTTAAAGAGCACCTGAAACAAGTTACTGCAAACTTGGGGCTAGAAGTTGAGGAGTTGATACCTTGGCTGCATTGGCCTTGACAGTTAATGAGGTGGTGCTAAGAAGTGTCAGGGCATTATGACAGACCCCATTGACTCTGCCCCAATCTCAAAAAGGGTACAGTAGGTTTGAGTATCAGCAAACAAGTATCAGGGATGGAGTGGTCCTGCCAAATAGAGGCTGAGAGGTTGGACCTGTTTGGACACAAGGTTTAATCAATGGACAGCTTCTAGTTGCATATCTCTAACAGGCTCTGATGGGGAGATACAATTTTCATCTGTGGGACTCTTGCCAAATTTAAGGAATTCCTGCAATAGAAGTTTCACGGCTATCCAGGAGGAAGGCAAGACTGTGGTCCGGACGTCCCTCCAAGCAGCTCTGAATGCAGCTGTCACAGCACCCGGAACAATGAGATCAGCAGTTACCATGAGGTGCTGTTCATGGCTACAGTCATCAAACCTCTCTCATGAATTGTAGTGGTCCATCCAGGACTTCCCCTTTAAGGGTACCTGCTTGTTCTCTGAACAGACAGATTCCAAGCTTCACAGTCCCTGGGCCTATACACACTCATGGCCTTCAGGAAGCATTTTAAGTCCCAGATTTCTAATTTCTTCCAGGTAGGGGCCCCATGAAAGAAAGGGAAGGGGACATGCACATAATCAGACCCTTCCTTCTGTCTCAGCCTTCCTGTTGTGCTTTTACAAATATGCTCACAGGGCCAGGCAGGCCTTTTGAAAGATACACCCGAGGGCGACATACCAATCTCAACTCTGGATTCATCTTTCCTTTTGTTTTTGATCTGCCTGTCACTTTTTAGCCCAGTGTGACTGTATGTAGCATGGGACAGTTGGGTGCTCTGCACATATAACAGTCAATTCATCCACCAGTTTTCGTCCTCGCCTCATCCTTGTTCCTCTGCT